GGAGCATTAGCCAGAGGTGAGACCGTACCAGGGAAAAGAGTTCCCTTGTTCATCAGTGACTCTGGGGAGAAGCCACAAGACAGAGGTGGGGCAGGTGTACCAGCAGCCTCATGCTGGTATGCCCCTAGGCCTGTGCCTTGGCTGTAAGTCTGTGACCCATTAAGGCAAATGGAAAGGTTTAGAGCTGCAGCAGCCCAGAGCATTTCCTGGGCTTGTTCCAGCCCCTTCTCCAGGAAAAGCAGGTGGAAAAGTGAGTCACCAGTCCTGCCTATCCATACCGCACCCTGCTTCTCAGCAGGTTCTGAGAAATCAAGCAAGTACCCTCGACCAGAGGCAGGACAGTGGCTATGGCTTAAATGCCATGGCCCCAGCTTCCTTAGACCTTTTGTACAGGGGTCTCGCCTGGGGGGAGCTTCTTACTGCGCTTCTTCATGCGGCTGCGGGCGTAGACACGGAGAAAGAGGGCCATGAAGACAACAGCTATGCCCAGCCCCCCCACCACAGTGACAGTGTGCCCGTAGATGAGGCAGGAGAGGAGGATGGCAAAGGCCTGTCGGAGTGTCATGATGATGGTGAAGACAGCTGCCCCGAACTGGTTGATGGTGTAGAAGATGAAGAGCTGGCCGCAGGCAGAGCACACGGAGAGCAGCACGGCATGGGCTGTGAACTCCGAGTGGCGGGCCATGAAGCGTACCGACTCCAGCAAGGCACCCTGCTCCAGGAGCGAGCCCACTGTGAAAAGGCAGGAGAACACGTTGACGCCAAACATCATCTGCACGGGAGACATCTTGTAGGTGAAGAGAGCATCCTGCCAGTTGGAGGTGAAGCTGTCGAAGATTATGTAGCCAGCCAGGAGGACTACGCCAGAGAAAGTGGTGACGGTGGACACGTGCCTGTTGGGAGCGCTGGAAAGTAGGAACATGCTGACCCCCACGGAGATGAGGGCGGCAGTCAGGTACTCCCAGTACTCATAACTCTTGCGTGACACCAGTTTGCCCATCATCATCACTGGGATCACTTTGGAGGCCTTGGCCAGCACTTGGGTGGGGAAGCTGATGTATTTCAGTGCCTCATACTGGCACCAGCTGCTGAGGATGTTGGAGAGGGAAGCAAAGGAGTATTTGTACATGGGAGCCCCGTGGCGTGGCTGCTTGGTCAGGGCGCAGTACAGACCGGCCACCGTGAAGGCCAGGATGCGGTTCATGAACACTAGGAACTGGGAGTCCGTGAACTTCTCACCAGGGTCTGTTTCAGTGGCACCATATGTTCTCGTCATCACACGTTCCTGGAGGACGCCCCATGTGAGGTAGGAGGCCTGCAAAGCAGGAGGAGCACAGGGAGAGTCAGGACTCACAACAGCAGCTGCCAGCAACCCCAGGAAGAACAGACCCCAGGAGATCCTTGCTTTCCCCAGTGTTGCCACATCGTCTGCACAGCAGTACTTCCCTGAGACACTGGGAGATGGGGCCACCCTCCACTCCACCTGTCTGAGAGAACCCGCTGTCCATGTGGTTACAACCAGGAACATCCTGTTCCAAACAAAACGTGCTCAGTATACAGGGGGGAGGGGAGAAGCCCGCAGTGCAAACATCCTGGTGGAGAGCGAGCAGTTGTGCTTTAAGCTGCTTTAAAGCCTGTGGGACCAGACTGACAGAATCAGGGAGTGTTACCGATAGACAGCTGCGGTTTTGGTGCCAGCTCCCTGCGGCAGGTCCTGGCAGTTTTCCCAGTGGCCTCTGCATTGCTTTTCACTTCCAGCTCCCTAGGCCTGGTTTTTCCATCCAAATCAATTCTAATTTCAAACCCAGCAGATGAGATTGTCGGCTAGGGATGACCACTGTTCTGGCTGTCACCTCCACTACTTCTGATACACCACCACCAAGCCCCTCACAAAAGTAACACGGACTTCCTCTCATCACGCATTTCCTGAGAAATTAAGGCACAGAGATGGAAGGACTGTTGGTGACCTGCAGCAAGTCTGAATGGGCCAGGAGAGCAGGCCAGAGAGTACCTTCTGCTGGCTGTGGGACACCTGAGTTTTAATACCTCAATGCCCACATTACTATTTTCAGTTCTCACAGACCCAAAAAGCTGCCCTTCCTAATGATGCTCAGGCTGTAACTGAGGCTTAGGGAAACTAAGATTTAAAATTCCTTTAAAATTTTATCTGTAGCTGAAATCAGTATATTCTCTCCAGTATTCAAATTCAATTCATCAAGGCAGGATGCATCAGCCCCAGATAGTGACCCAGAGGAGAGCCTGGGAGATAAGAGGGCTCAAACTATCTGCTGATCGGACATCAGGGCCAGAACAAAAGCTGCCCTAGCAATCTGCTGAATGACAGAATTTTCACAGAGTTTTCCCTATCCATGGCTGTAGAGTACTGCAATCAGACAGACAGGATGCCCCAGCCCAGACGACACAAGCTAAATGGACCTCCACAGCCCATAGATGTGGACTATCCTGATTGAGAGGCTGTGTTCCAGCCTCCAACCCTGCCCTGATCAAGAACAGCACTGCATCCTTGGTCTTCAGGGAACTGATGGTCACAAACCTACTGGCCACCTCCTCTTTCCAGAGTGGGACAGCCACACACACATGCACAGGGCCCTTACCTGTAGACCAGCAGCACAGAAGAGCAGCTTGAAGACCTGTCGGGCTGTGGAGGGCTCTGTGGGCTCCGCCCGGGGTGGTAGAGACCCATCCTCCTGGAGTACAGACTTCACCTCGGAGCCAAACACACATGATTTGATGACAGGGAAGCAAATGCCTCGGCCTGAACAGGGTAAGAGAACACAGAGACACAATGATGCTTGTGGGTCCCTTCAAACTCAGCATATTCTGCGATTCAGCTTGGGCATCACCAGCTGCACCAGCTTAAGAGGTGAAGCCTCCCTCCTTACTAGCCTCCAGATCTGCTGGCACGGGGGCCTCAGAGAAATTTATTTCATGGTAGCACCTAGACAGCACTGGGATGCAGCTCAAGCCTGGTCTGACAAAGCAGGCTGGGGAAACAAACTGAAGAGGGCAGACCGAGGGGGTGCAGAGAGCTCAGAGGGAGGCAGGATGTGGAAGGGAAGCTCCTGCCCTTACCTGTCTCCAAATAGTTCCTTCTCTTGAAGTACTGGATGAGGAGGAATCCTGGCACCACAATACTCGCGTAGCCAGCAGCGTTAACAAAGAAGCGGAAGAGCCAGAAGTCCCCCCACGAGTCCTGCAGGGCAGGGGCGATCTCTTCACCAGTAGCCATCGTAGGGAGGGAAGCCAGCACGAGGGGAAGGCAAAATCTGTGGAGAGAGGAAGAGGCAGGTGGTGGGCTACTGGTACATGGGCAGCTCCACTCGGCACGCCTGTAATACCTCTCCACCAGCAGGCAGCACCCAGACCCCATTACAGCAACAACAGTGATGCTGGCAGCATGTGGAGTAGGAAAAGCCCTCAGGAGTTGAAAAGCACAGGCCATGCATCTATGTTCACTTCTGTTAAAGGTGTTTGCTCTGGAACACATGGACTTAGAACCTTGTATTCCCAGGATTAGAGAGAACACTGCTGTAACCATCTGCTTTTGACAACACTCTCACTTAAATGCAAGGAGCACCTAACACCTCACACCTCACCTTTACAGGTTAAACTTTAGCACAGCTCTTGGGTGGTAAAAGAAAAGGTCACTGAATGGAAAAATCAGCTCCTACCTAGCAGCTCATGTTTCAAGCCTGTGGCCATGAGCAACCTTCCTCTGGGAGCAAACAGTTCAGAGCTTTCCCCTCCAGCTGCACCAGGTGAGTGGAGGAGAGGCGGAGGTTTGGGCTGCCAACCTCCCCCACTTCTCCAGGCAGCCCTGGAAGGCAGCATTCCAAGGCATTCCCCACAGCTCAGAGGAAATTACCAAGGTTCACCCCCTTAGCAAAATACAGCCAGAAAGCAAGGCTGGAAAGGAACTTTCCTGGCAGCTGGCTGGTTGGAATTTTACCAGGACTATCCAATAAGGTATAACTCATATTCTTCAGCTAAAGCCATAGGAAGTGACCTAGCTAGCTTTAAAAGAGCTTGAATAGTCCTTGAAGGAGTTCTTCCCTCCACTGCCGCTCCTTCCCAGAGTCAAACCTGCAGTATTCAGGGACACCAGGTACTCAATAGAATGATCAACCAGGCAAGAACTTCCTATACCCAAGGCCACCTGCATCCTCCCGTCACACACCAAGCTGCAGCTTTCTGCATCAGCGTAGAAGGTCTCCCTGGTCCATGCTCCATCCCTGCCCAGCTTCCCCAGTGGAGAAAGCCTTGGGGGCCAGGTAAGTGTGCTGTGGGCTGGCTACATAAATGCACACCAGAAAAACTCTTAAGCTCTTGTGACTGAAAGGGCTAGAGATGTTAGTTCCTCCTCCCCCAGAAACAAGTGAGTCAGAGGAATTTAGGCCCTGTTTAGGGGTGTACCTGGCTTAAATACTATATAGCAGTGACCTTTGGTAGCCTTCACACAAAACTCAGAGATTTATAAGCTTAAGAGCTTTAAAGGCAAGGAAGTCCCCTGCCATTTCATGTGTGAGCCCTCCCCTGCAACCTCTTGTCCCCTTGGGAAAGGCCTCAGGGACTTTTCTTATCCTCAACTGCTGCAGCCAGGCCCTTAAGAGTCCAACAACCTGACCTAAGCAAGGCTGTGTTTCACCCAGAAATCTCCCTCCTGTGACATAAAGGACACAGAAATTCCTAGCCCAGGAAGATGTGCAAACGCTTGGAGGTGGATTTCTGTGCCTGCGTTCTATTTCCTTCCCGTTCTCCCCACCCCCCCAAAAAGACAGTTTGACACCTCCACTCGACCTCTCCTGCTGCAGGCGCACCATTGCAGACCTGTACAGGTGCTGTGGGATGCAAGAACACCACTTGGTACTGGCTCCTGGGGCTGAAGCTGCCCATGTGCTCCTGGGCCTGCCTGTATTAAGTAGCCCTGGTTGCTGGCAGGGTGCAGAAATGCCGTTTGCTTTTGCAGAAGTCAGATATAAATGACAGGGTCGGTTGCTACACTCAAGGGCCACGTCTCCAACTTGACAGGGACCGTAAGCTCCATCAGCACAACTGCTCCTGCTGTTATCCCGTCGGACCCTGCAGCGCTGCCATGGGAGGAGAACCAGCTCCGCTCTCCCACAGCGACTGTGAAGAGGAGGCTATGGAGGGACAATGGCTCTCTCTATGCCTGCGCTAGCAATTCCCAGGCCCCGAGAGCTGACTCAGTGCAGCAGGCCCTGCCCTCCCCGACAAGGCTGGGAAGGAACAGGGACGCCAGTGTTACAGGTAGAAAGCGGGGGGGCCGAGCAGGCGGCGTGCAAGGCATGAAAGGAGCCTCAGTCTGGGGCTGCGGAACAGCCCGGGAAGCGAGACAGTAGAGCCGGCCGCTGCTCGCCTGGGCACAGCCAGGACAGCTCTCAAAGGCACCGCTTCAGAGCCGGGCTGGCACCCAGCCCCCTGCCCGGGATGCAAAATTTGCTTCCCGGGAATGAAAAGGATCCCTGCCTACAGCCCTGCTATTCTTGAGCGCGCATCCAGCACCTCGAAGGGCTGAGGTCAATTTCAAGCCTGGAGCTGACAAGTCCATGGCCCCTGCTGAGAGCTCGGGATGTCGTGTCTGCTCCCTGTCCCTGTCCCTGGACGCAGCTGTGCCGCAGGGAGCGCCTGCCATTGTCCTCCCAGGGCCGGCCGCCGCCTCTACCCACGGCCACGAGCGGGGCACCGGGCTGCCGCTCCCTGCCGGCCCCGGGGCACCGTCCGCGCCCCCCGCCCCCGGCGACACCGGAGTATCCCGACAGCACAGAGCCTAACGGGGACCCTGCTCGCCGCTCCAGGGCTTCTCTGCCCCGAGGCTCCGGCGGCTTCTGCCCAGGAACCGGCCCCGCGGCAGAGGCAGCGCCCGGCCGGGTGCGGGGCGATCGTGGCCCCGGGGCCGCCTCCCCGCCCGGCGGCCACGTTCTCAGCGAGCGGCCCTGCAGCGCGGCGGCGGCCCTGGCCCTCGCCCGCCCAGCGGGGCAGCTGCCGCCCGCCGCCCGGCCCGGCCCGCCCTCCGCGCCCACGTCGGACCGGCCTCGCCAACCCACCTGCAGGCCGGCCCCGGCTCCGGCCCGGCCCCGGTCCCGGCCGGCTCCCCTCGGCTCCGCTCCCGGCGGCGGCGGAACCCCCGCCCGGCGGGCGCGCTCCCGCCCCACAGCGGCCCCTGCCGCCCTGGAGGAGCCGCGGCGGGAGGAGCGGGGCGGAGAGAGATGGCCGGGATGACGCGATCACAGAGCCATAGAATCATTTAGATTGGAAAAGACCTCTGAGATTATCGAGTCCAACCTGTGGCCGAACACCACCATGTCAAACAGACCGTGGCAGTAAGTGCCACGTCCAGTGCTTTCCTTGAACACGTTCAGGGATGGTGACTCCACCACCTCCCTGGGCAGTCCATCACAATGGACAAGGGCCAATCTCACATCACCCTTTCTGAGCAGGAATTCTTTCCAGTGTCCGAGTTAAACCTTCCCTGGCGCAGCTTGAGGCTGTGTGTCTTGTCCTGCTGGTTATCCGGGGGAAGATGCCGACTCCTGCCTGGCTACAACTTCCTTTCAGGTAATTGTAGAGTGTGATAAGGTCACCCCTGAGTCTCCTCCAGAGTAAACAACCCAATTCCCTAGCTGCTCCTCACAGGACTTGTGCTCCAGACCCTTCATCAGCTCCATTGCTTTTCTTTCTCTGTGTCCTTCTTTAAGTGAGGGGCCAAGAACTGGACACAGGACTCAAGGTGGGGCCTCACATGTGCAAGGGGACAATCACTGCCCTAGTCCTGATGGCCATACTATTCTTGATTCAAGCCAGAAGTCCTAGAAACTGAACCCTGACATCCCCCCCATCCCTGTGCGGTGGCTCAGGGCCTCCCTCTCCAAGCCCTGCCCTGGGCACACACCACAGCTGCTCCCAGTGGCAGGCGCTGTCTGGGCACTGTGGGGCAGGATGGGGGCCATGTCCACCTGGTCCACACAGCCCTGCATCCCCATTCCGGCCCCGGGCATGGCTGCAGGGCCGGCTGCAGCCATCAGATGGCCACTCAGTAATGTTTCACAAGACATCTTTTTAAAACAAATGGTTTTATTTTATAATAACAAAAGGTGCAGATCATTTGTTTCTGCCTTTTTCCTTCGCTCCCACCTGTAGCCCTGGCCCCACTATCCCACTCTGCCCTGCAGCACCTGTCATTCCTGCTTTGGGCGACCCAGGAGTGCCTCACGTCCCCTGTGAAGCAGCTGCACGGGTTTACAGCAGGGTTGAAGCCTTGCTGCAAGAAGGTGAGAGGCAAAGATTCAAAACAAATGCAATCCAGCCCAGGTCTGCTGAAGAGACCAGGCAAGCTCCAGAGAAGCCTGGGGAGTGCCTGTGCTGCTTTCCTGGCAGCATTCCCTCACAAGGGAGGAAGAAGACAAAGGCTCACACCAGAGCATCCTGGGCAATTGCGCCATCCAGGATTTGTCCAAAACAACAGCAGCTGCTCCCAGGCAACAAGCGGGGAATTTCCCTGGCTGAGGTGGGGTCAGTCAGGCTCCACGCCTCCTATGTGCATCGCACATGCTCCTCTGGCTGGAGAGGGGACAAGGAAGGATGGTGAGCTGAACAACAGAAAGGATGTTGCATGAAGATAATACTGCTTTCAGCCTGGGGGAATCTAAAACCCAGGGAAGACCCATGCCAAAAGTTTTTAACACCTTTCAAGCCAGGAGATTGGGCAGGATCTTTTGTCCTCTTTGCGAGAGGAAACCACAGCATGGTAAAGCAGCAAGATGTCAGGCACAGCGGCAGAAGCAGGGATCCATAACCTGGTCTTCCGGCATCTCCTACACTCTTTCTTCAGCCCAGCAGCCCAGCATGGGATTAGAGCACGAGGCTGGGATCCCCCAGTCTTGGCCCTGAGCACTAGAAAGGCTCTGCAAGTGGGGAAGCCCCTGTGCTCCTACTCACCTTCTGTGGTGCAAAGGACCCGAGGGAGTGGGCAGACTGGGGAAACCCCTGCAGCCCTCATGTCTGTGGCCCCCGGCGTAATGCTCAGCCTCCTGATGCTGTGGGGGTGCAGGATGGGTTAGATCACATGAGACCTCTGCTGCCCACAGCAACAACAAACATTTATTAGAGTGAGTGTAGACTCTCCTCACCCCACGCTTATTCTGATGGCATTTGGGGGTGCCAGAGGATGTTCTGTCCGCCGAACAGTGTGAAAACGAGTCCTCTCCTGCTCCTTCCCTGTATATGCTGCAGACCCCCACAAGTCAGACCCATGGCCAGGAGGGGAAATTCAGTCCTGCTGCAGTGTACAGATACTAAAAGAAAAGCCTCCCCTGTGTAGTGCTCATAATGCCACTTTCTTCGGTCTGGGAAGGCCAACAAAACTTTTCCAAAGAGCAGAGGAGCAGCGGGATAAGTCTCCCAGAGTGACTCTGCTCCTGCGGAACTGCAGGCAGGCAAGGTTCCAGCAGACAGCAGGGCAGCAGCACGGAGCAAGGAGGCAGCCCAACGGGCCAAAGGAGTCCAGCTGCTCATTCAGAGCACACAACAGGCTTCCCTGAGATCTTCAGGTCATCGAAGGGCAGCAAGGCGAGGAGCTGCAAAAGCCAAGGGTGTGGACATGTAAGGATCGGGGGTTGTGTCTCCACCGAGCTGCAGCAGGGGCCCAAACCTTCCCCGCCACCCAGTACTGCAGTCACCCACCTCTCTAGGGAAGTGTAAAAAATCCTGTCTGGGCTTTCCCTAAGTCTTGAGGCAAAAGGTAGTTATCCCACACACCCTCATAACCAATGCCTGCACCCTATAGGGAAGGATGGAAACAGCAGAAAACTCCTCCTAGGAGCTTCCCCCAAATTGTCCGACTCCTGCACCCCGTGACAAGCTGTCAGAGCCACAGGCCTCCCCCCACAGAGACTCACGTCATCGTTGCCATCAGCCAGGTCCTGGGCTGTCTCATTCTCCATGTTCCTCAGCAGGGTGTCAGCCCCAGAGTGTGAGAGGATGGCAGCAATGGCAGCATCCTTGCGGCCCACGGCCAGGTGGAGCGGGGTGCAGCCGTTGTACATCTGGGCATCCACATACGCCCCGTTGCGCAGCAGGAACTGGACAGCCTTGCGGTTGTGGCACTCCACGGCCAGGTGCAAGGGGGTCTTCCCACTCGTGCCCTCCTGCAACCCGCAGATCACAAGGGTGTGGGTGTGGGGTTCCCTCGATTGGGCCCCGCAGCACCCACCCCACACCCCACTGACAGGCTGCAGAGGGGGCAGTCCCCACCCCGACTGCTGTTACAGCACCCACCAGCCCCTAGCCTCAAAATTCAGTGCCTCTAAGCCTCACAGCCGTGCCTGCCCCAAGGCTGAAGGGAATGTGCAGGGGAGAGACACACTGGCCCAGCCTTGCCAAAACATCACACCCTGCCCAGTCTTACCCGAACATCGATGTTGGCACCGCTCTCCAGCAGCAGAGACATCATCGGAATGTTCCCCTTCAAGGTGCTGATGTGCAAACAGGCCAAGCCTGTGATGGAGAGGCAGAAGAGAGAGACACAGTCAGCCCGGATCACCCCATGGCACACCAGTCACAGCTCCACGCTCACTCTGCTGTGCTCCAGGATCCCTGCATACACAAGTCACAGGCTCTGCCCCAACCTGACCACCAGCTTTGAGCCGGGTTAACTCCAGGTCTCACCTTGCCAGTTCTGGAGCTGCAGGTCCTGGTGGTGCCTGTGGGGCTGAGCTGTGCCCTGTGGTGGGGCTGTGCTCTCCAGCAGCTGCTGGGCACACTGCAGGTGCTGCTGCTCACAGGCCAGGTGCAGCGGGGTGTTCCCATTGCGGTCCTGCAGCCCGGGGTTCACTCCCTTGTGGATCAGTGCCTGGATCACATGGGGTTGCTCCAGGTACACGGCGAGATGGAGTGGGGTCTGGAGAGAAATTAGGAAAGGGGAGGATGCCCCACAGGACACCAGATGTGATGAGCCACACCAGTCTACAGGAGCCAGCCTGGCAGCATGAGCTGCCACGCAGGAGACTCTCCCAAGTTATCTACACTGCCACCTACATTCAAGCTGTGCCTCCTCCCACCCTCTGGAGTTGTCTGCAGTGTACTGGGGTTTTGCAAAGGACCCTTCACCCCACGGTGCTGGGAGCTGTCACACCTCTCAGTGTGTCTCCACCACCCTTCTTCCCCTCCCTGCAAAGGAGCCGCTCACGTGGGAGCAGGTTGGGGGGGGTCCGGGGGAAAAGGCAGACGGATTGGGCATCTATCCAGGGAACTGCCTGCGGCATCTCCCTTCCTCCCATCTTCTGCCTATCACAACTGCATACCTGGAAAAGATCATTTTGTATCTCCAGCACCTCCCTGGGTAGCTGAGCGATGCAGCAGAGTGCTACAGCTGGGACACAGTGGATAATGGCCAGATGAACCAACCTAGGGAGGGGATAAAGGGGACAGGAGAGAACACAAACAAAAAATGAGTCCCAAGCGCCATGCTCAGGAGTGGAGATCCTTCACTGCTGCATGAAGGAATAATCTCTCTGCCTCCTCCAATCCCCTTCCCACCAGCTCGGAGCTCCTCCATTCCGCCCTCTCCCTGGGGAAGCTCAGCAGAAGGCCAAGGCAGGAACATGGCCTGAGGCTCCCCAGGGCAGTCCTTCACTCTGATCCCCACAGGGAACAGACCCTCCTGACCCTGCTAAGCAATGCAGGGTCCTCCCTAGGACCTCATAGCATGCGTGGGGTTCAGATCTGCCACTACGCAAAACCAGGCCTTCAACTGGTGCAGGTCCAGAGCCTGGGATGTGTTTCCCAGAGCCCAAGGGCCAGGTTTGGCAGCTGTGGAGGGAGTTCTAGGCTCTGGCAGCTGCCTGGGGAATTCCAGTTCCCTACTTCCAGCTGTGCACTGTACTTCTGCTTTCCCCTCCATGAAGGCAAGCAGCCGTAGCTAGGAAGGAGCCTGGTGCTGGTCCAAGATCACCTGTGTGGCACAGCCCCCATGCCAGCTGATCTGCTGCTCCACACCAATTTCCTCTTCTCCCCCCACATCCTTTCCTTCCAGCACAGTCATGGCAGGGCTGGCACGCAGCCTGCCGGCACAGAGGGACACCGGAGGTGCAGCTGTCAGAGCTTGGTGGCCAGCAGGGAGCCCTAGTCCTCAGGACTGTGGCCCTCATAGCCACGGCGTGGTTGGGCAGCCCGGAGTCCCCCAGCCCAAGGAAGGTTTTATTTCCAGCCGGCCCCTTCATAGTCAGAACAGAAGTGAGAGCACAATGGAAGCAGAGGCGAGAGGGAATTTCCAGTCTCCTCCACCAACCTGCTGCGCTTCCGGGCCCCCCAGCACTGGGCATCCTTCCACCACAGGGCAGCCCCTTTGAGATGACCCCAGTCATGGTGGGCAGCAGCAAGGAGCAGGCAACAGCTCCTACTCTGAAGAGCATGGCAGGCATGAGCTGAGCCTCCTGCCACCCCCTCACCGTTGTGCCAGGGGCCCCGGGTGGCCTGTCTCTGGCAGGGATCAGCTCCAAACTAAAGGATGGGCTCTAAGCAGGCTCCTGCCATCCATGCTGCTTTGTTTGAGGCAGGCAGGGCCAAGGGATGGAGGGTGAGAGCTGTGCCAGCCTTGGCAAGACAATCTGCTTGCTGGATAGCCCAGCTTTGGGATGCTAACTGCAGTTGCAGTGATGATTTGACTGTGCTGAGAAGCTCAGAGGCCAGTCCCCAAAAGTGCACTTTGGGGGCAGCACTTTGAGCAGCACTCCTCCCAAGTGCTGCTCAAAGGCCAAGCCGGCACCTGGAACCCCAGGCACCTTCAGCTGAGCCCCAATTCTGATGGCAAAACAAGTTCCTCTCCACCTTGCTGCCAGGAGAGAGGCTGTGCCCAACAGGAGAGGCTTTGTCCCTGGGGAAGCCCCAGGTCATGCTGCAGCAGGGAATTCCCCACTGGAAGGAGAGGCCACTCACCCACATTTGCCTCTGCACAGCCATGGAGTGTCCCCTCACCGCCAGCACCAGGGGGCTTCGAGCAGGGGCCATACAGCCCCACGGGCAAGGTCTGACACCCTCAGGGGACCATGGGGCAGAGGCACAGTCAAGGGGCCCAAGCCAGGAGCGAGGGGACCAGGTACAAGAATACGCCTCCCCTCATCAGGCTTTCAGTGACCCTAGCCTGGGTATGATCTTAGCAGGGAGATTCCCTGCTTGGTTTTGCACCAGGTCCTCAGTCAGCAGCACCTGTGCTGAGGTGTCCTTTGCCCACTTGTAGGGACAGCCCCAGTTTCTCCAAACCCGCTCCCAGGCACCACATGCAGGAGGAGGCCACAGGGTCTGCCTTTTACAGGTATGGCAGAGATAAGACTGCTCAGACAGGGGACTTTCCAAGGCAATTCAGCTTGAACTTTAAACCGCTGCTGCTTTCACTTTCCAGAGCTACTCTGGGCTCCCAGGGGAGAGAGCAGTGCCCAGGGTTATGTCCCACGGCAGCCAGCCCTTATACCCCAGGAATCCCCCCAGCCCCTCTGCCACTACCCACGCCACACCACACTGTCACGTGGCAACAAGTGGGGCAGCCACCCTGGGGAGGTGGTGGAAACCCCCGAGCAGCCCTCTGCCACTGCTGGCACCTCACTCTTCCCGCCTTGGATGCCTCTGCAGCTCAGTAAGGCAGTGCAGCTGCTCAGGCCTGGGCTGACACCAAGTAAGTTTGGGTATCCATGGTGCAGAGGTGATGGGGGTGACCATCCCCACCTGGCCAGAGCTCAAGCTTTCATCTTGCAGTTGAGATGTGCCTGCTTTGAAGGATTGCTTTCTCCCCTCCCCCATCCTTCTCCACCCGGGTGCAGCCTCCTCCTGCACTCTCATTTCTGCATTCGTTCCCGCCTTTCCTCATTGCCAGCCCTCAACTTCCTGAAATGGCTGCAAGAACCGTGAGCTACCCGGGGTAATCATGGCAAGGCCAGGGAGCTGGGATGAGCCCACCAAGAGCACGTGTGCACCGAGGCACCCTGTGCTATGGGCTATGATGCCAACCAGCAATTGGGATTGTCTCCTGCTAACCCAGGAAACCTCCTACGCTGAGGAGACCTGAGGCACAGGCATCGTGCCGGTCTCCATTTCTTCTGGTTGAGGCTACAGGGACAACTCTCTGTGCCACGGCAGCCACTGACGGGCTGCTGGTCCGTGCTGGCACAGCTGAGCCCCAGAGCCAGGGTGCAGCGATGGAGATACCCACTCACTGCCAGACACCGCTCCTCACCCAGCCACGGCCGCCAGAACAAGCCCTACACCCTGCCATGCTCAGACCCCTGCCCTTCCCTGGCCTGGCTGCACGACTCTCCTCTGCCTCCCTCTGTCTGCCTGCTCCCTCCCTCCCCACGCTGCTGCCTTGCATTCTCCTGGTTGCAGCTAGGCGGGTGGGTGCCCAGCAGGAACTTTCAGGAAGGGCAACAGGGAGTTTTAAAAACAGCAAGGGATGGAGGAACTGTGGGCAAGGGAAACGTGGCAGGAGTACCGACTGCTGGGTTCATTCGCAGCTTTTCCACTTGCTCACCAGCTTCATCCTGGCACAAAAGGACTCAGCACTCTGAATCACAAAGGTCCCACAGGCACAGGCCATTCCTGGCACAAATCGATCTAGCTGTCATCAGAGAGATAACAACCCTGGAGCAGAGAGGCTGGGGCTATCCCTGGGGATATCCCTAGGTCGGAACATGCCACGCCCAAACCAGTCCTAGTTTAGGCATAGGAGAGCATCCATTTCCACAGTGCTGTCCATCTCCAGCTTCTGAGTGACCTCAAGTGTCAGGTAGGAAAGTTTCCACACATGAGGACTGGAGGCCGGAGAACAAGGTAGGAGTGATACCCAGCTCTGACACACAAGCAGAACTGACGAAGTCCCACCAGTGCTCTGGCTATCCTTTTCCATTTCTCCAGGAAAGGGTCGGACAATGCAGATGCCCCCACCTGTAGAGTAAGACACCTCGTTCTCAAAGCAGCCTCTCCCTTCATCATCTCGCCCCAGAACCACCTAAGGCACAGGATCCAATATTCAGCTGAATTTGCTTTGACAAATTTTTCTCCCTCTCTAGATAAGGTCCTGGTCTGCAGGAACAGTTCGCTTCCAGCTCCTTATTTTGGCTGAGTGGAGCATTAGGAAATCATGCAAACAATTCACACAAGAGAAACTTGCTCAGGAGAGGAAATGGCCCCAGCAGCAATAGAGAGGAGAGCAAGGGAGAAGGAAAACAGCAGGGGAATTCCATGCTTACCCTGCTCTCCTGTTCCAGGCCTGTAACCTGCACTGCTAACCGCTTCCTCAGCCATCAGCACGAATCTCTGCCAGCAGGCTCAGCAAGCACAGCTCCATCCTGCCCTGCAGCCCTGAGCCAGCCCAGCCTGGCTCCCTTCCTCCTCATATACAAAAGCGATGCTGCCCTGCTCCATAAAACTGTTCCATCTGCCCTCTGGCAGCTCCAAAGGAGCAGTGGATCCCAGCTGGCTGTGGACTCATTGGCCTGTCCTGTGTTCCTGCCCTGGGTCTCCTGTTCTGCATGTTTCTTCTCCCCTTCCCTGGGAAGGGCACAGCTTGAATTTGAGAAGAGGGGGGATGGGATGAAATAGGACTGGAAGGAGATTGTGGCTAGTGGGATGTAAAGCCCCTGCAGCCACAGTGGGTTCAGCATTCCTGATCTCCAGTCTGGGCAGCTGCTGCTTCCCAGCCTGCTGCTCCTGGGGCCAGAGGGAGAGGTGGGAACCAACAGGTGAGCAGAGGAGACAGCCTCACCTTTTCTGGGGTGCTCTGCAGAGGCTATGGTCTAGGTGCTTGCAGATGAGGGGTGCTGGAGGCTGACTGGTAGGAGAGGTATTGTGAGAGGGCTGGGAACACCTCATTTTTCAGTGAGGTGGGGAGGAATGGGAGAAAGATGGGGAGATGAAGGGACCTCAACAGCACCGTGGCCTCACACCCTCTAGACTCTGCACCCACACATTTGAGAATTTTGCTCCATTTCTGAGCAGACAGTGGGTCTGGGATTGCAGAAGCACTAAACATCAGATGCATGTGGACTGCTCCCTTCAAAACAAGGGGTCTGTCCCTCACTACCACCAGTGCATGAATGGGCCAAGCCAGAAAGCAGGTCAGCTCATCCTAGCAGGGACCAGTCACGGTCTGAGAAGCAAGATGAACAATTGTAATAAAAGCAGTAAACATTCCAAAAGGTCCATTGACCGTGGTAAACCCATTTCAAATGGAACAAACTCCCACTCTCACTCACTAGGAGGCAAATATGTTCTACAGTTTCTGTACACACAGAGATATCTTCAGGTCAGAACGGCCTCTCAGAAAAGGACAGTGCCTGGACTTTGCCAGAGCCTGTACAGCACACCCTAGCAATCAGTTACAGCCCTGCATGTATCCTCCTCACCTCAGGATTTTC